GCTTTACTGATTGGCTAATAATGACATCACAACTAGTATTTCATCATAAAGGTCAAATCGTGACATTGCTTTTTTATCAGACTCAATGCTTATTAATCACGGTGAAAGTTATCATTCAGCAAAGTTCCGGCGGTTGGAATGTCTCACTATATGGATATCGTGGTGGACTTGAAATAGGAAGTTTTTTTTTATCCAACGACAGAAGAATGTTTTCATGACGGTGATGAAAGATGGTAAAAAAGTTGGCAGTCTTCGGCGTGACATTGCAAAATTGCTGACCCCAGTTATGGATTCGCAAGCTGCTACAAAATATTTTATAAAGCCAAAATAACGTGATTTCAACCACTCTCCCAGGTACAGGTTGCTACAATATTGCAACATTGGTTTCATTGTCGACAGCGCTAAAGCCGATCGAGTGCGACACTTGGGCTCTCTTTTTCCGATTTGCCTGAATCGTTTCTAAGTTACTAAGGAAGCACAAACCAAACGGCCAGCCATTTTTAGGGCCACGATTTTAAAAAGAGAACTACCGTTTCTGCTTTAATATATATTTTTATAGACTGTTATGATTCAGAACGCGCCTGAAGGCAGAAAGCTGTCACAGCTATTTTGCGTTCACCCCTTGTTTTACGCAGTTAACATTTTTTATAAGTATCACGACAGTCTTCAAGAAAGTCAACTGTTAATACAACCACAGTCAACGAATAGAAAATAGTTTTTTTTTGTGTAGAAAAAGACCCCCTGGGCGTGTGCCCGGATATGACCTCAACTCCTTTATTGTGTCAAAAGTGGGGGGTGGGCGTTTGCCCAGGCATGGGCTCTTACCCGGATAAGTACGGTAGTTAATTTGGTAATGCTGATTGAAATGATCTGGTACTGTTCAGATGCCTGAATTGTACTGATTGTACTGGTTGTACTGGTTGAGTTGTTTTTGTATTGAAAAAAGTTCAGTGGTCATCACGCTGTAAAATGTAGTATTTATTTATTGCACTCGAATGAAGTCTAAAAATAGGGACTTATAATTTCACCTCAGTGCATGAGTTCATATGTTCAATCTCACCGATATTTCAGACATGCCTTGACAGATCATACATCTTGAAATGCATATATGCATGTGCATTTGTTATGTGATTTGATTCAAGATGGCCAAATTGCAGTGCTAAAAAATATGTCATTTTGGAACCAGATCTTGGTTGAGTATAGATTCAAACTTGTTAAAAATGGCTGACTAGTAGTTGCTTCAGAGCCATGTCTTCATGTCTTGACCAATCATGTTCAACATATACCATACGTCATGTCACACATATGCATATATATTTGCTTCATGTTCAAATTCAACATAACATTCTGAATCAGGATTAAATGAAACTTTACATACAAGTTGTACATCAGTCAAAATGTCTGAATAGTTTCAGTTTTGTTTACTATTGCACATCAGGGACTGTGTCGTGTCAATGTCTTGTTTATAACCTGCTCTGTTGGGCAGCCACTGCACTTTAATATTGTTGATGCTGATTGAGTTGGTTGTTACTGGTTGGATTGATAATGCTGGTTGGCTTGTGCTAGTAATACTGGTTGAGACTGTTGATACCAGTTGCAATGGCTGGTACAGTTTGTGGTGGTTGATACTGATGGTTAGATTGATTAATGTTAACCATACTGTACTCTCTCTTAGGTGTACTTAAAGAGTTATTTCACCAGTGAGATGTATTTGAAGTACTTGAATGAATTAATACACCAAATAAAGAATGAGCAGGTGGAACCAAGTCCCCATACAAGACGGAAAAGACATCCCAGTGAGTCAAGTAGTGAAAACAGTAATGGCAGCTTTAAAGATGGTAAAAATACACTGCTTGCTGACGGTACTGTCAAGAAAGTAGCAGAGAAAGTGGAATCTGGTAATTTTCGCATTGATACTGGTAACTTTGATCCTGATGCCTTATGGCAGAGGCCGTCAGCAAAGTAAGCACATTTATATGACAACTTTTCAATAACTGTCGTCATAAAAAAGCCTGATAAAACCATTTTGGAAAACAATATCGATTACAAACTGTGTGGTATTTAAACATTTGACACATTTTTTTTTCTCAATTTTAGGCCACACTGATTTAATTTTATGGATGACATCCTCTGAAGACCCCAAAACTAATGCGAGAGGGCGAGAAAAAAAAAAATCCTACCAAAAAAAAAACAGGACTACGGAACTGTTATTACGAATTGAACCACAGTGTATCAAAAGTCTTTATTTGTTGATGTACACATTTCGTACTGTATTACTGTCACAGGTATCATCACCTTTGATTTTGAAAAGGCAAGAGGATAAGGCAGATGTTAGCTTTGCCAAAGGCATACACATCAACTCAATAATAAAGAAAAACTTACTGTGTTGTGTTGAAAAAAAAAAATAATTAAAAATGAACAATAAGTTTGTCAACAGCAACCTGGAAATTAACTTCTTTGACATTCAAACTACAGCTTTTAAAGTGACACTTCAGATAGACTAAGTGTAGACACAAATGCTCTAGAACTACTTCAACTATGTAACAAATTATAAGAGGCTCGATATTGAAAAAATAACACCAACAGAGAGTCAACACAAATTTGGATGCAGAAAATTATGTACATGTATCTTGATGAAAATTTGTCATATGATCAAAATATTACTGACTGTCTGTGCAAGCAAATTATCCGAATCAGAAAATGAAAAAAAAATAAGAAGAAACTTTTCTTCACCCCGTAAGGGGACTTCGGCCAAGGAGCTTCTGCTGCTTTTGTTGCAGTTTTGTCGACTTCAATGCGGACAAAGCAACCGAACTGACTTTTCGTCTGACCGACTTTTAGGCCACCATACACCTCCATTCCTCTCATCTCATTTCTCTCATCGAATAGCTGTGTAAACGTCACATCTCCCAGGCCAACATCAATTGCGTACCAGTCTACAACAGTTCCTCCGTTTTACCTCTGAACTTTTATGCTCACGTATTTTGGTGGTGTGGTCGCCATGTTGGATCATTTATGACAAAATTGGCATATTTTGAGACAATCTACTTCCCATAGGTCTTTGCGCTTTACGTAACGCGCATCTAAATGTGCAGAGTTTGGTTTTGAGATAGTCCAAAATGAGTTTTACGACAAGTCGGCACTTTAGGACAATATGAGTCGGCAAGTTCCGGACAGAAAACCGATCTGTGGAGACTCGTCTTCGGAGATTTTTTTTTTTTTTTTTCGAGAACAGGCAAAAACTAATGCGCGTGCAGATGTCATCCATAAAATTAAGTCAGTGTGGCCTTACTGGCAACAAATATACCATAAATACCATAAATATTTTCAATAAATGAACAGTTAATAAGAATGATTAATTCAAGTAAACATATAAAGCAAGAAATTTGTTCAAATTTGTTTTGCAATAACTTTTTACTTGGCACATGCATGTGTACTTGTTGTAATAACTAGATGATCACATTGTTATTGTTTTATTGTTTTTCTCACAGTATGATGTCATTTGGTAAAGTCAATGAATTTGGTCAGTTCATTGCAGAATGTGAACCAGACCCAGAAGTCAAGAAAAATAAAAGTAAGAAAATGTAAACAACTCACTCCTAACCTTGCCCTTGAGGGAAGATTCATGAAGGAAAAAGTGTACCGTATTTACTCATCATTGCCTCCATTGCTTTTGGTCTTTGCTCTTTCCCTGTACTTGCAATAACCTTTAAACTTTGTTTCCATATGTTTTCCACTTAAAAGGGTGGTTGTTGTGCCACACATGCGCAAGGTATGCGTCTCATAGAAACAAAGATGGCGACTTTGACTGTTGCACAGACCATTGAGTACAAACTGAGACATTATTAAGTTTTAATTAGATAATTTATCGAAGGTATTGAAGGTATTGAAGGAGTCAGCTGTAGTAATTAGTGCACGTCCAGCCAAGGTCAAAATGCATATTCTTGATTCCCATTAGAAGAGGGCATTGACCACAATCTTTTAATTTTATTTGAATAACTTACTTAGATTTGAATAATGTACATTTTATTCCCTGTCATTATAGCATGATGTGGAATCTGACTGGTTAAAAAATTGATTCTAGTTCTAAATAAAATGAGAAATCAACTGTGAAATCATCTGTATTCATCCAACAGAACATATATACTGTGAAATTATGTATGATATTATTACATGATTGACAGTCTGTGATATCACAATATTTTATTTGTGATCTTGTTATTTTTATACCAAGGTCAATCATAAATATAATGTGATGTCAAGAGGATTGTATTATAATAGAAAATTTTGTTATTTCACAATACATACTCCATTCTTATTATCTCATTAAGCCAAGAGCAAGATTTTCATAGCTACACTATGTTTTTGATTGGAAGAAATTCTCACATTGCATCCTACATGTGTTTCATTGATTTTTTTCCAATACTATATTACAGCTTCTAAGCTGGATAAAGTCAAACAGTGGGTTACTGGTAATGAGGACCAGGTAAGCATGTAAAAACTATGTCACCAAAATATTCTACTCAACATGCAATACTAGTCATGTATCATAGTGATGAACAACCGTACTTCTCTGATCATAGGCCAAGGGGCCTGAACACGTAAAATCTTGGAAAGTAAGGAGTCATTTTATAATCTAGAACAACCTCAGAAAAGATAATTGGGAGGGGGGTAACATTGTAACTATCTTAACACCCAGGAAAAATAATCCAAATTACATCTTTCATTCACCATTCCAGGCTCTAGGGAATGATACGTCTTTTCGTAAAAAAAAATGCGAAACTACACTTTTACAATGAAGAAACAAACATGCTCATAAAAATATACACATTTTATTACAATACGTTTCACATACCGTCTGAATTTATGGTGTGAAAATGGGTCCGTGTGGAAACAGTCAAAGGCAAAATCCTTATTATTATTTTTGTTGTTGAGTCATTAACCAATCAAAATGCTGTCATACTGACAACATTTCCCGATTGTTGATGATGTGATTTTTTTACAAATGCGGAAGTGAATTACCACAGTGTTAAAATGCAATCTATTAGCAATCTATTTTTTTTCCCTGAAAACTGGTGATTTGAGTGTGAAGGAATTATTTAAACACTTTTCACCGTTGCGAATCACATCAAGGAATAGTTTGCTCGTTTACACCCCATTCACTATAGTCTCATTTGACACTATTAAGTAAAACGATGTCCAATGACCAGATTTCATGACTTGACAGTCACATTTTTGATGTTTTGAAAGCTATCACTCAAAGAAATATGAGTTGTCAACACCCTTGGCCTATAACCAGGGATGCCCTCAAATCATTGAATGTCTAAAAATAGAGGGGTAGGCTCATACTCTGGAAGGGGCTTAAAATTGGGGAAGTACTGTAGTTGTAGAAGTGACCAAAGTCGCATTCAAAGTGAATGAATCTTGGCAAGTTGAATTGGACTATCCATTGAGTCTGTAACACACTCACCCAGGGTAGACTTAGCACTTGACATATTTTGATGTAGTTATAATTATTATTCCCATGTCAGGTACAGGAAGAGATGGCGTGGCAGGTAGCACAGATGATTATAAATGATGTCAGCAAACAAACTCTAGGATTGGATGAAGATGATGATGAAGATGAAGATGATGAAGAAGAGATTGATGTCTCTGATTCAGATGATGAATTAAGTGAGGAAGCTACAGGGAACACTCAGGAAAAGGTAGTGTCCCAGTTCTATCTTCAGTGATTGTTAATATATTGTGAAAAGAGTACTTAACATTACATAATGCAAATAATACAAGTTGCTTTCAGTCATATTTTGTTTGCCTCCAAAATATTTATGCAACATTTCGGAAATTTTTGTTTATTTTTCTATAATTTTTTGATTAATTTTGAACCTATTGGCTTCAGGTCTTGATAAAAATTTTGAAAAATATAAAAAAAAATGATTTTAAGGTGACAAAAGTTGACTTTAAAAGTGTTTAAAAGTTTAATAGAATCCAACTTTTGACATGTGAACATCGTTAGCATTTTATTATTTACAAAATTTTGAAGTAGTATGAGATGCTAAAATAAGAAATGTTGTGATAATATTACATTATTATGTAAATATTGCAAGGTGTGTACAAAGAGTATTGATCACATATAACACAGGTTGGTGCAACCATGTACTGTCTGAGTGCTTACTTCTCAATATCCTTGTTTATTTGTACATCTTCCTGAGTGTCTGAAACTTAAAACTAAATAAGATAGTGCTGATTAGTAGAAAAATCTTTGAATTTTGTAAATATCGTATAATCATTCCATATTTGGAATGCATACTTCCTAATAGGGTAGGATGAATATCTTGTGCAATACAAACAAATTAGATCATGATATACGATGTGTTGTATTCATTTGATAAACATGTCACATGAAAAAAATTGATGTTATGTATGTTATCCTAATCTTGTTGTACTTTTGATTTCAGAGTAGTAACTCTTCAGGGAAAGAACAACGCAAGAGAATAAATTGAGAGAGATTATGACGACTATGTTGCAATTACAATTGTGTATGCCAGTATACATGTGTATATATATATATGTATGTATGTGTCTATTTCAACTATTGTCTTTCACTCTTTTTGTGTTTTCCTCAAAGCCAAAGTAATCAAATTAGTATTTTGTGTGGCAGTGAATGCTAGGGTGTGATAGTTTAAATACATGATGCAATTAGAGAAGCTTTTACAGGTTTTGTGTTCCAAACTTTTGACAAAATCTAACATTGTTAGCATGCAACTTTATCTCATCCAGAACTGTGACATTTGTTTTGACCACCATGTCATATTTGTAGATGTAAATATTAATTACACTTACATGTGTACGAATGTACCGTTGTGTGATCTCCCACATGTTTTTAGGCATGTGTATAGAAAGTTTATTATAAATTAATACAAAGTCACTGTGAGAATGATGTATGAGTATGCATGAAAACAGACAGTATGGGCTATTGTAATTTTTTTTTTGCTAAAGCTTGGGTAAGATGTGCATGCTTGTTTAGCATATAGTGCCTTGATGGCTGACATGGTCAATATTGTTATTGTAAAACATATGCCATGCTAAGGGCATATCGTTTCTTATTTACATTCCCAATGGTAGAATGCACATACTACAGGTGTAATATTATATTATTTGTTTTTTTGAATAAAACTCCAAGACATTACCCATATGAGCCTGTTAGTGAGCTTCCATGTGTTTTCAGATAACACAGACAGCGACAGATCAAACTTTTATAATTTTTTTTTCTTTCTGTTGTGTTTATTGACTTTCTAACGTTTACATTATAATAGAAACAGATGAATATGCAAATTTTAATTTATGATTTACTTTAAGTGTCAGTGTTAACAGACATTGTTGTTTACCAACAAGGGTCATACTATATGCATCACACATATAATGAATTTACAATAAGATTCACCTGGTTACATTTATTTTCACTGTACCAGTTGAATAGTTTATATGTCTACTTCATAGACTAATATATATGTTTCAAACATTGTGTAGTGTAGTTTTTGATTATAAAATGTCAATTAGCATCATTTACATATAATTTGCAATGTCTAATTAACTACATCATCTTAACTAATAGTGTCCATCATTGAATCAAGTCTTAGTTCAATAGTACTGTGAATAGTTGCATTTTGATTGCTATTTCACCGAAGTTGTGAATCCCCTGTGTAAAGTACCAAGTGAAACATTAAATACATTGAAACTGCTTGGATAAAATAAATATGATATTAGTTGGCAATATTAGTTTAGTTTAATTATCAGGTATCATTTTCACAGTTCATATTTGCATATTTACATGAAATATGTTAATTGAAATTTAAAAACATTTCCTAGCAGTTTCTGATTGTTGCACTAGCATCCTGTAAAAAGTGATTGTCATTTTTTCTATCTTCTATACATGACTGCAGTCATAGTTCTAGGCCAATTTTGTTGCTGCTAATATTTTTGTGTCAGTCTAGACTCTGATAATGATGTATAATCATCGTAAATTTAGCTAGAAATGGAACAACAGAAATTTTAGGAGTTCAATTTGTTCCAGATCTGTCTCAAATGACAACATTCACATCTCAAAATTTCAGCCATATTAAAAGTTTAATTAACATGAGATCCTATGATCTGATTGGTGGAAATGACCCAGCCATGTTAAAAGTTGATCATAACATAAGCATCCTGTGATTTGATTGGTGGAAATGACCCAGCCATGTTAAAAGTTGATCATAACATAAGCATCCTGTGATTTGATTGGTGGAAATGACCCAACCATGTTAAAAGTTGATCATAACATGAGCATCCTATGATCTGATTGGTGGAATATACCCAGTCATGTTAAAAGTTTAACATAACATCAGATCCTATGATCTAATTGGTGGAAACAACCCAGCCATGTTCGAAGTTGATCATAACATGAGCATCCTGTGATCTGATTGGTGGAAAGGACCCAGCTATGTTAAAAGTTGATCATAACATGAGCATCCTGTGATCTGATTGGTGGAAAGGACCCAGCCATGTTAAAAGTTGATCACAACATGATCATCATGTGATCTGATTGGTGGAAATGACCCAGCCATGTTAAAAGTTGATCATAACATGATCATCCTGTGATCTGATTGGTGGAAATCACCCAGCCATATTAAAAGTTTAATTAACATGAGATCCTATAATCTGATTGGTGGAAACAACCCAGCCATGTTAGAAGTTGAACATAACATGAGCATCCTGTGATCTGATTGGTGGAAACAACCCAGCCATGTTAAAAGTTGATCATAACATGATCATCCTGTGATCTGATTGGTGGAAATCACCCAGCCATATTAAAAGTTTAATTAACATGAGATCCTATAATCTGATTGGTGGAAACAACCCAGCCATGTTAGAAGTTGAACATAACATGAGCATCCTGTGATCTGATTGGTGGAAACAACCCAACCATGTTAAAAGTTGATCATAACATGATCATCCTGTGATCTGATTGGTGGAAATCACCCAGCCATATTAAAAGTTTAATTAACATGAGATCCTATAATCTGATTGGTGGAAACAACCCAGCCATGTTAGAAGTTGAACATAACATGAGCATCCTGTGATCTGATTGGTGGAAACAACCCAACCATGTTAAAAGTTGATCATAACATGAGCATCCTGTGATCTGATTGGTGGAAATGACCCAGCTATGTTAAAAGTTTGTTTATTTCTTAATAGTACTTGATCTATAATGGAACATTTCTTATTTATAGCGTATTTCTTGTTTCAGCACTTATAGTTACTACGGTAACTAAAACCTAGTTACAGCCTATGAATATATTCAAGTGCTAAAGTCTGTTCTTTGCTATTTTTTTTATCTTAGGTTTTCTAATTTTGTAAACTTGCACCAGTAAATATCATTAATTTTTTGAGAATGATCATTGTATCTGATGAACTTACATCCGATATATTGTATTTACTTTATTGTTATTGATTAAACTAAATTCAGTGACTGGTGAAAATTGATATAACTGAGTTGTATATGACCTAATGATATATTTGTTTATACCATTATATTGTAATTGACAGTAAAACCTGCCTTACACTTGCATACTCTCCAATCTCTTCTCCATTGCCTTATTTTAAGGTAGTTTGCTGGCATTAAAACATGGGCAAAAAATGATCACAGTAAATCATTCAAAAAATGTTGTCTGATGATTCATATACATGTACAACATTCATATTTAATCATTTCACAGAGAAAGAAAGACGCGTTTCCAAAGAAACGTGCAAAATAATCTTGTTAGTCATAGCCCTCATAGGGCACTGAACAAAGTTTTGAGATATGTTGGAATTTTTCTGCCATATGAACCAATTGTAACCTATTCAAAAAATGCATTTTTGAGGTCGTTTTATGGAAAACTTCATATTTTTATTTCAGAATTTTGAACATTACAGTAACACAACCCCACTTACTGGATTTTAAAGATTTCTCAGTACCGGTATTTCTTTCTTTCAATGATAGCAAACTACCTTAAAAGGATGTGGCCATTAAATTTGTATGCTTTTTGTGTGAATAAATGACGTCTTTAATTCACATCCATGTGCATTGCTATACACAATATGACAGTATCTGTGATGTCCACCACCTGATAAAAGACCTGTAAACTTTTAAGTTTTTCATTTAGAACACGTACCGGTATTATGTTTTCAGACAAATTCTACACAAATGATTTGTTACACAATCTATATAAGCAATAATGTATACAAATCACATGCATTTACCAGTAGTTTTAAATCTACACTGTAATATGTTACATGTGCATTAGTTTTAGTTTTCACAAGTCCTAGTGGCAGAATGATAATAAGGTGATAATTCTGGTTACAAATAATTCTTGTTCTACATATATGTAGCCTTGCCACCACTGAATAACTTTAACACATTCATAGCTTCTGAATGTTGACAGAATTGCTGCCTCGGACAGCAATGATATAACATTCATTTGATCATGCAGCTGTGTATAACAATAACTCTTTGGTTGCAATACATTAGATAATTAGTAGATTGAATGTTCATCTACTGGAGTGGTGAACTAGTCTGGTTAATGTACTGGTACTGTTTCTCATGTATTAAATTAATACAATTTGTTAAAATACTAATGTTTTGTGTTAGCATTCATCTCTACGGCTCTACAATGTATGCAAGGTTTGTTCACAAATCTTAGAATGCACTGATCTATGTATTATATTTCAGAACATGCTTTGCAATCTTTTCTTGAACACCAAGTAGTATCTCCTATATTGATGAGTTTAGTTGTCACTTCTATCATCTTATTTTAGGATTTGTGACGTCAATACAATCTCCTCCAATAGTATTATACTCTGTTTGTTTTATGGCTGAAACAACAACCATGCTACAAATTGAAAAGTTCATGGCTGTATTGAACTGGCCATTCTGAATTTGTCGTTGTTCTATGCCACAACCTGGTTATAGATTAAAATATCAACAACTCAGAATATGAAATGAATTTACAACTTTATTCAGAGCATCAACCACGGTATTTTTACCATGAGTGTTAAATTTGACAATGAGTATTCAATATTTGTGAAGGTTTTAAACCATAACTGTCACATGACAATAGATTATCATAAAAGTAGGTAATTATTCAATACATCCATGCACTTCAGACAAAGTATTCTTTGTAAATGATAAATATGATACTATCTAAACTATAATGAATCACACACAGTGCAATATTGGATGAAATATTGGAAGGATCTATGGTAAGATAATATGTGAGGCAAAGCAGAACACATTATGGCGTCCAGACATATGTACATCAAGTTGTTTACCGGTCTGATTCAGGATGGCGGAATGGCGGCCATTTTGCTGATGAAAAATGATCAAAATCATTTCTGGCATTCCGGATCTCTGCTGTTTACACATGGATTTTGTTCAAACTTGGTACATACTTTGGACATTATAGGACCTTGATGCATGTCATCATGCAGGTTATTTTTTGGATAGATTCAAAATGGCCGACTGGTGGCAAGTTTGTATCAATGAATGGGCTTCTTGAGCCATATCTCTGACATGCTTTGACTGATTATGTTCAAATTTTATATATTCATTACACATCATGTCATAGATGTAAAGATGTAT